GTGCAGGCACGTGAGCCCCCCCCCCAATCTGGGAAACCTGGGCTTGGAACCCCTCTCAGCTCACCAAGGAGGAAGGAGTCAAGCACATCCCCTCTGGAGATAACAAAGCCAAGCATGCCGTGGGGGCCACACTGGACCAGATGGACCCTGGCGCTCCCTTGCAAGGACTGGTCTGGGCCCAGGGTGCTCACTGCTTCCTGAGAACGAAGCATAGCATTGTATACCCCAGGAGCGGGGACAGGCAGCGAGATTTGGGAGGGTGGATAGACAGAAACACAGACTGAGACATTCAGCACAGCCCTTGCGATGTGGTGCCCACCCCCAACCTCCCTCAGGACATATTTCCTTCCTCACTAAGCTTGCCTAGGTGGCTTCCTGATCCCTAGGCCGTCCTTGTCTTCAGAAAACACCCCAGACTCAACTCAGGTCCCTGCACTGGGTCGTTGTTTGCCTCTCTTTTCTTTCTACCTGCAAACGTGCTACTCATACGACAACCAGAAACATCTCCCTATCACCTGAAACTGCTGCCCAGTCCCTGACCTTTCAGTGGTGAGCAGACACACCACCCAGAAGCTCTGGCAGAAGAATACCTAGGGCGAGCCGGACCCACGCCACACTGGTCCTCTTGCCCCCACCTCGAAGAAGTAACTGAGGCCCTGAGACAGCCATGGCCACCTTGTAGTGGCCAGGAGATGGCCCTGCCTTGTGGCCAGAGGTCCAGGCGGGATAAGAGGCCCAGGTTTGGCTCCGGCAGAGTTCACACCATTTCTGTGACCGTGGTGAGCGGTTTCACGCCTCTGAGCCTTGCTTCACCCTTTTGTAAAGTGAAGCTTCTGGCGTTCAGATTGGGTCGTTGATGTTGACATAAGTTTCACTGCTGTCACCTGCTCTCTGCCCTTCCCTCCAGCTTGCAGACGGGACACTCACTCAGACAGCAGAAGACCAGGTAGGGAAGGCTGCTGAACACATGGGCTCCCCCTCTGCCGCCTGGTTTCTTCAGACTGGTGCTTGGGTCTCCCACAGCTGCGGGTACCTGGGTGGCCCCCTCTGCCCTGCCTCCAGTGGGCAGAGGCTGTCCCTCCATCCCAGCCCCTCCCTGAGCTGAGCTCACCCTCTGGACACTGTCCCCGGCCTTGCCCTTCATGCTGAGGACCAGCTTTCTGCCGGGTCCCCAGGCCAGGGAGAGCTGGGGGGCCCTGGCCAGATACTGGGCGTCACAGAGCTCCTCTGCAGAGACATACTCCCGGCACTGGCAGCTGTGGGAGAGAGAGGGCAGGAGGCTGGCCCCAGCAGGCCCAGAGTAGCTGCCCACTCCCTAAGGCCCCTTAGCCAGTGCTGCCTGCTCTGGAAGGACAGGGACCTGCACTTTTGATGGAGGACCTTGAAGGACTGGACAGCACACCCTCTTGCCCCTATCCTGCACCAGCCCAGGCATCTCCCAGAACGGGAGCAGTGCCTGGGACAAAGGCCTTGTCCTGGGTGGGAGCGTTTTACTTGGGGTGTCCTGCCCTGGAAGAGTGAGGAGGGACCCAGCTGCTCAGCCTGGAACACGCCTGCTTATTTAGCAGAACTCCCAGCACAGTGGTTCCCCCTCCAGTGCCTGTTC